GAATTGTGGCGCCCAGAATTGCACGCAGTACTCCAACTGCGGTCTGACCAGTGCCCGATAGAGGGGAAGTATCACCTCCTTGGACCTATTCGTCATGCATCTGCTGATGCATGATAAAGTGCCATTGACTTTTCTGATGGCTTCGTCACACTGCCGACTCATGTTCATCTTAGAGTCCACTAGGACTCCAAGATCCCTTTCCACTTCCGTGCCACCCAGCAGGTCATTTCCTAGGCTGTAGGTGTGCTGGACATTTTTCCTCCCTAGGTGCAGCACTTTGCATTTCTCCTTGTTGAACTGCATTCTGTTGTTTTCTGCCCACTTGTCTAACCTGTCCAGGTCTGCTTGCAGCTGTTCCCTGCCCTCCGGCGTGTCCACTTCTCCCCATAGCTTTGTGTCATCTGCAAATTTGGACAGAGTACATTTCACTCCCTCGTCCAAGTCACTGATGAAGACATTAAAGAGTATCGGTCCAAGGACCGAACCCTGTGGGACCCCACTTCCCACACCCTTCCAGGTCGAAGCCGACCCTCTCTTGGTGCGACCCTCCAGACAATTCGCCACCCACTGGACTGTGTAGTCATCCAAGTCACAGCCTCTTAACTTGTTCACCAGTATGGGGTGGGATACCGTATCGAAGGCCTTCCTGAAGTCTAAGTATACGACATAATGTTGAGGGGCAAGGGGGAAAGGAACAAAAGCTGTAACTACTTCAAACTCCCAGTGATACAAAGCAAGGACATCTATCTGAGTTCTCATGAGGTGCCCATCTCCATAGTATCTGATCACCTTTTCCTGTGATATCCTGCTCCTTGCAATAAAATTTCCTGTTCCGTTATCTGTGTGTTCCCTATGGCTTGCAAGTAACGAAGGTTGCACTGTATGCTTTTTTAAGGCCCTTCACACTGGATAAGTAACTTTCATATTTAACAAGGTTAAGTGTATTGGGTACCCTCATGGAAACCCTTGAGAATACAATCAAGGAAGTAAGATAAATAAGTTATTTTGGCTAAAATCATCAAAAAATGGTAGAAAGGTCACTAGCAGCACACAATTAAGACCTGTCAATCTAACTCGTGCTCTCGTGTCTGAGCAAAGCAGGATCTATATTGCCTACCATCAGTAGCATAAGTATGGTAGGGCATGCAGGGTATCAGCCCCAGGCTTCAATTTAGAGGGAACACCAGCAACATCCCACAGGGCTCAGCACTCTGCAGCCCCGCTCCTCGCCCACACGTAGTGTCTAGTGCTTGCAAACTTTCCTGCCCAGGGTAACAAATTTGCTAGCTATGCCTCTGCCTGCCATGCAGGTGCATGCTCAATACACCAGGCTGCAGGTGGATCTTTTTTCATCCTTCCTGTTGCAGCTGCTCTGTTTTGCATGGAATAATTAAAGAAGCCTTGGGCTGGGGTGTGGGGAGAGGAGAGGGAGAGAATGTGTAGCCAAGATGTTTTGGCCTTGTGGTTATGAAAGGCTGCGGGATGAGGGGAGGCCTGGATTCTAGCCCCTGTCCCAGTGCATGCTTAAGTATTTTGTAATAAATATTAATAGGCACAGGGACCAGAGCCCACATCTACCCTTTCCTACATGAATGCCAGAAACACTGGATATAGAGTCATTCTCATGCTCTCATCCAATTGATACTTAAGTATTCCAGCCCAAATTACCCAAAGGTCTAGAGGTTAGAGCACTCCACAGGGAGGTGAGGGGGCATATTTTAATCCCTTTAGGCAGAGTGGGGAATATAAGATGAGTCTCCCACATCCTTGAAGTGGGCTGTATTTAGTAAATAGATGGCAACGTCCTCTTCCCATCTTCCCTCTCCCCACCCCAACCCACCCTACCTCATTGTTTTGCTAGTTGTGCCCTGAGAATGCCTGCTGGGGTCCTGCAGGTGAGATGGATGGAATACCTCACCTGTGTATCTCAACATGGCTTATGTTTGAGCCTAAATTAAGTGCCTACCTGCTCAGTACTGTATAGATATGTACAGTTCTGGTATGCTCAGAGGCAGACCTTTAGGCATCTAAGTGGGATCAGGAGGCATAGGAGCAGGTGTTTTGCATATCTAAAATTTGGACTTGGGTACCAACAAGGGCAGTTAGACAGGATTTAGCTGGCTTTAGGCCCCTAGCTTGCTTATGTATTTCCTTAGGCAGCAAGATGCCTAGAATTCCTGTGAGAGGCAAGGATTTCTTAGGGTGCTGTATTTTATTGGACCAACTATGTAGTTGGGATAAAGTTAAACGAGCTTTTAAATTTAAGACATTCTTCCTCAGGTCTGCAAATCTAGCCCTAAATCACTTGAAAATGGGATACAGGTGGTTCTGGCAATTTTGTTCACTTACAAAATTTGCAATCTGAAAGCCAAACTTTGATTCCCTAGAAATGCAAGGTCTCTACAGCATGGGTAATCTTTATGTGGCTGGGATTAAAGAATGATGGATTGGGAAGGAAAATCCCAGGTGAAGGCAGGCTCTTTTTCAATGGGTACCAGTTCCCTTGCTGCACCTGCTAACAAAGAAAGCAAACACACATTGCACAATGCTGGATTATACTTTAAAGACCCCCTAGGCTTTAACATTTCTTTTCAGCACATAATGCTTTGTCTGCCATTTTTGGAGTATAAAAATGACAGATGGGTTTATAACATGTTTGTCTGGAGGGAGGAAAGCAAGTTGGTTGCTAATTTACTCATCTGCATTGGTAGATTCTCATATTTGATACAAAGTTTTAATTGTCGTGGCTATGGCAGAGTTAGTCTGTTTTTTCTCTCTTGGCTGGTTGAAAGACTGCCTCATGCTAATGTCTCCAGTGTGACTAAAAGATATGAATCTGGCAATTTACATTCAGCAGTATAATGCAGACAGCAACTGAAGGATCAAAAATTTAAAGATGCATGTTTATTGTTAGGTTATTTTGCTAACAAATGACTGTTCTGCAGAATAGCAGTCCTTGATGGCATCAGTCATCGTTATATCCTCTAAAGATCTGATTTCTTGCTCCATGTCTCCTGTTTAAAGTCCCCCTGTACCTATCAGTCCCGGTATTTATTTACCAAATGATCTAACTGAATACACATTTTCAGCTTTCAGATTAGTGTTCTTATCCCTATGTTAAATTCTTTATAATTTATTTTATATAGAGATAATATTCCCTGTAGCCAGCAAAATAATACCATAAAACTCTAAACCCACTTGATTTGTAGTTATCTGTAACAGACACATTCAGGCTTGGACTCTGTTCTCTTTAGTCAGGGGAGTTAAACCTTGCTACACAGTCTCATTGGTTCCAAATGACCTGCTTATAAAATGAAATAGTACTGAATGTGAGTTGGGGGTGGCAGAATTGGGTCCCTTGTGTGTTTTATGACTTTATCAACAGGATAAATGTAGGCATGTATCTCTGCTTGTTACAATTGTGTCAAATACTTAGACAGACTGAAAATTATCTTGTTTTAAAAGTATACTTGCAAAACAATTGGCAGAACTATTAATAGAATCCTTTGGAAGAAAACTTCCTATTAATCATGATTTTAATTTTGGCTGCTTTTTCCAAATTTTATTTTAACCTGCCTTTATACCACAACAAATCATTTATTACTTGTAATACACTAATAGCAGATGTGTGCATTAAACATTGTTGCTTATATAAAATAAGTGTCGTTTACATCAGTATTCCTAAAAAAATGTGCATTAACATGGTCTTACAAAAGTATTGCAGAGATTTACCAATTCAGGCCCCACATTTACTCAGTTTCTTTGCCATTCTGGAGGATACTAGTGGAAAAGGGAGGGGAAAAGTCCAGTATTCTCTCCACTCTGAGTAAAGGAGTGAATTCAACTTTGCAAGGCTGCATTAAAAATAGTATTGGCAAATTGAATCATATATTTTATGTCATAAAAAAGAACAACCACAAAAAGTAAGGAATGTAGAAGTCATTTATGTGCAGTAGCAATTAATATCACTGTAAAGGGTACACACTATATGTTTCCTCTGACTTTTTAAACTCTAATACACAATGATTTCTGCAATACAAAAAATATATTGTCTTTTTTTTCCACTCCATACTGGTTTACTTTTTTTTGAGTAGGAACATCCCACCAGTTGAGCAGCAGACAGTGAATATTCTGTTTCCTTTGGTTCAAGCCATTGTACGATGCATATACAACATTGTGTTACATCCATGTTCCAGATGTACCATTCTCAGATCCTCCAGCTGGATAATCCATAGAGTATCATTTTCTCTTGAGTCTCGCACATAAATTGGGAGCATTGCTTCTGTAGTAAAGCACCAGCTAAAAGAAGCTGAGATGAAACAGGAGCAATCTAGAGCTCTGATTTTAAAAAGGCAAACCTTTTCAAAATAGATTTTACCTTAAGTATTTTCCTTTTCCTTTCAGGATTGTTACTTTATCTTCATTTGTCCCTTTATATTTTATAGAGCCCTAATAACATCTTGGTAAATGATTTGTGCTTTCTCCACAACATTCTGACATTTTCTTCATAGCTCTTCGTCTGAAGTTCACCTTCCCTCTTTCCTTCCTTATAGCTGTATACTCATAAGCCTTCAGCTTGCTGTAATAGTCTGAGAATTTGTTGTAGAGGATAGAAATGGGCATTCCATTCAGAATTATTCCAAAAGCAATGCAGAGGAAAGCGAACAGGCGGCCGAGGTGAGTTTCTGGACACACGTCTCCATATCCCACTGTAGAGATGCTGACCTATAAGTAAATCAGAATTCTTTTTAGCATCAAAAGAAAGGTGTAGAAATATCTTCCTTTAACCGATCCACCTTTGTACAGGGAGTGGAGATTTTCAGCACAGGTATTTAAGGCATATTTTACACTTTATTGCATTACAGACTTGTATAATTACATATTGGCTATCCAGTTTACTTTCTAGCTTCTAAAAAATTCCAGATTGTGAAAAATCCTCTCACATAATTCATTACAATATTAATCAGGCATGAGTCAGGAAGGTCTCCTGTTTTTAATGGGTGCTGCAGGAAGAATTTGATCTAGCTATATGGAGCCCTTCCAGGAAAGTACTGTTTGATTGATCCTAGGAAGTGGATGCATATTAGGGGTGTGCGAAGCAGGCCCTATTTGATTTGGATTTGGCCCAAATCGGTGACAGTGATTTTGATTCGTTGATTCGGATCACTATCCCTGATTCAGTTCTGCTGAATCCAAATCTGAAGATTTGATGCTGATTTGGAGAATCAGCAATTCGGACATGGACATAGCTTTAAATGTTTACATACCTCAAGGTACCAGCACAGCTTGTGAATGCTGAGATGCTGGGGCAGGTGGAGCATCCCACAGGAGTGTGGAGGGGCCTTCCACGTGCTCGGCAGTGAACCCAGAAGTGGACCGGAAGTAATTCCAGTCCACTGGGTCTGCCAGGGAGTGTGCTGGGAGGCCCTCTGCACCCTGCCCTGCCTCGGCAATCCGCCACAGGGGGACCCCGAGTGTCCCCCCAGACGCAGAATGCACCAGTCACTGAGCCGGGGAGGGCACAGGGGGGGCCCCCCACGTGATCCCTGGCGGACCCAGAAGTGACCTGGAAGTGCTTCTGGTCCAGTTCTGGGCCTGCTGCCGAGCGTGCTGGGGAGCCCTCTGCACTTCTGTGGGACACTCCATGCACCGCAGCATCGCAGCATTCATGAGCCACCTGCCAACTAGAGGTATGTAGAAAAAACATTTAAAGCTGTGTCTATGTCCAGATCGCTGAATCTTTCTGAATTGATTCAGACGGTTCCGATTCGATTCGGAGAGATTAAAGGGTCCTCTGTGTCAGAACCCATTGTTCATATGCCTATAGTACAGTGGAAGATTCCAGAGTTTGTTACAGAAGGCAGTCTGTCAATCATTTTGTAAGTAGGTCATGTAAGTAGGTCACGAGGGGGAAAACTCCAGAGCCCAGTGACTATATGTTATGACCTAGAAAAAGTTCCCGCTGATTTGTAGCTTTCTTTGCAGTGTGCATTTCTTCTGTGCAGCACAGAAATGCACGGTGCAAAGGAGTTCCCGCCAATCTTATGCAAATTTCTACCCCACTATTGGACTGTTCTAAATTATTCCTACCTGGCGGCTAGTGATTGGCTTGCTAGCCGTATAAAAGGCTTGAGCAGTTTCTGCCCAAGTTGGAGAATTCCACATACATCTCGTGGAGAACTCTGAGTACACTGTGGAGCCTAGCAAACTCCACGTGTGTTTCAGAGAAGAACTTAGCAGCCTGATCAACCACTAAGGACTCCCCGTCACCGACCCAAGGGGGCCTAGCACACCCCAACCCGAGACGTAAGACGACTGCCGGCCCGAAAACCCCGAAAACCTCTGCAGACCGACCAACAACTTTGTAATATCTGCCCGACCCAAGTTTTGTAACTGTAACCGAAGCAAGCTTCTGACCTGCACTGTAGGAGCAGTGTAAGTAAACAATCTTCTTTGTTTAACCAAAACGCTTGAGTACCTGATTCCACTCCAAGCGTCACAAGTACCCGCCTGCCGACTAGGGCTCCTAAAGCCCCGAACCCCACGCCGCGGCTCTCGGCGGCGACACTCTGATTTGATTCAGATTTAGAAATTCAGCCATCGAATCGGGTCGAATCTCCACTGAATCAAATCAGGGACTGAAGGTTTGCACAGCCCTAATGCATATCCCTGATAGCACACATCTGCTGACCCTAACTCCCCATACAACTAGTTGGAGTAATGGCTGCACTGAAGTCATCCTACATCCCTGTGCCTTTACTCCATTTTGGATTGGCCTCTGTTTTACACTTCAGTGTACTTTCCCACAGTAGTGGCTAATAACTTGAGCATTGTAGGTAGAGGCTGTGAAGTGAATTTCTCCTTTTTCTCTCTGCTGTGTCTGAGTGGTGAGTGTGGCTTAAGTGAAGATATGAGACACAAAAAGCACCATCTAACAGTGAAATACATTGTCACATTTGTACTTTACAAATAAATGGCCCATCAGATCAGATTTCATGTCTTAAAAAGGAAATGACTCTAAGAAAAAATGTAAGAGATTCTTGTACACTATTCAAAACTTTTGCTGAAGGGTATGGTACTGAAATGTTTTAATGATGATTTTTATTATCTTTTCTGTTCAGCTGTCTGATGTATTATAGGCACAGGGGAGTGCAGTCTATATAGAACTTCCCCTGAGTATTTTAGCTTGTGTGTTTTGGTATCTGGGAAATCTTTTGATACCAGAATTCAGCTTAGCCTTTAGCCTTTTTAATCGTATCAGTTTAAAGCTGTTTTTTTTGTTTGTTTGGGAAATAATTGAGTTGCAGGCATCACTATAGCATGTGAAAATGTGACTCCTGCCATCATTTTATCAATCACCTGGAGGAAGAAGGGATGATATCTAGTAGACAACGTGGGTTTCTTAAAAAGAAGTCATGCCAAACCAAGCTTGACCATCATTTGAATGCAATGCATTCTTCTGATGTGTTTTCTTTTTTTGGAAGGGTGACTAGTTTTGTGGATGAAGGTAATGCTGAAGATATATGTAGACTCTAATAAGTCCTTAGACATAGTTCCACATGACATTCTCATAAGTAAATTGGAGAAATGTGTGCTAGATAGAATTACTGCTAGGTGGAAATATAATTGGCTGAATAACTGCAAGGAAAGAGTATGTGGATCAATGTCAAAATGGTAGGTTTCAAATAGGCCCTCCATAGGTATCTGTTCTAAGTCTAATGCTGTTTAACATTTTTATTAATTCCTTTAATGCAGTAATAGAGCGTGTCCTGATCAAATATGCAGAGGACAGAAAACTTGGAGAGGGACTACAAATACTTTGGGGGGGAGGATAGGTTCAAATTCAAAAGGCTCTTGTTTAACTAGAGAACTAGGTTATAGAACCGCCAAATGAAATTTAAATAAAGACCAATTTTAGTGCTGCCTATATTAAAGAAAGTAACAAATACAGAATGGGGGAGTAGGTAGTAGCATTACTGAAAAGGATCTGTGGGTTTTAGTGGATCACAAACTCAAGAAATCTGCAATGGAATACTGTCACAAGAAAGCAAATGTAATACAGGTTGTATTAATAGAAACACTGTATGCAAGACATGGAAAGTGATAATACCACTTTACTCAATGCTAGTTAGGCCTCAGCTGGAGTATTTGTTTGCCATTCCGAGCTCCTGATTTTAAGAAGAATTAAAAGAAACTAGAAAGGATCCAGAAGTGAGAGACAAAAAATGATTAAGGAGCTTGAATACAAGTTATATGAGGAAGAGCTGAGATAAACTAGGTATGTTTCATTCAGAGAAAAGGAGATTAAGGGGAGACATGATAACCGTTTTCAAATGTTTGGAAGGCTGCCATAAAGAAGAGTGAGGACAACTGTCCCCTTAGCCCTGAGGGTGGGACACAAAACAATGGGTTTAAAACTTCAGCAAAGCTGCTTTAGATTAAATTCAGAAAGAACTTCCTACCTGAAGAACAATAGGACAACAGAGCAGGCTGCCTTGGGGAAGTTGTGGAACCTCCTTCATTGGAAGTTTTTGAGAAGAGGCTGGCTATATGTGTGTTCAGTATGGTTTAGGTATGGAGCATCTTATATTTGTACAGGGGTTTGGACTAGATGACCTTGGGATTCCTTCCAGCGTTATATTTCTAAAAAATGTTCTGAGTCCTTAATGAATGTATCTTTTCATCCGCATTTTTGTCTTGCCATAATACAGTGATGACAGTAGTGTTAAATGCTGTCTTTTATCCTGACACAGAAGACTTCAACAATTAAAAAAAAAAAGTCATGCTGAGTTCTTGCTGTTCAAATACTTGGCTCTATGGATAGTAAAGATGCATGACGCGCTCCAACCAGTTGAATACCAAGGATTTATTAAAAATCTATTTCTGCTATGCATGTTTTCATTCTTTAAATTAAGTTTTGTTAATATGCACTATTTTTTTCTCTATTTGGAGTTGATTTTCTATGGCAAGAATAATTTGTAATTCTATGCAGCTTGGCACTCTCTATTCTGCTTTTGGGTGATTTTTATTTAATGAATCATTCACAGGTCAAGGAATTTATTTCACTCTTTCACTGCACTGTAAGACGGTCTCTGTGGGTCTCTGTAGAGGTCTAATAATTGTACACACTACCAGAAATAAACAGAACACAGGAAGATGTAACCCCAGCACAGTGTTCCTGTGGTTCTAGTGCTAGAGTAATTTTGAAAAGGTCACTGGGTACAGTAGACTGTCCTCTCTTATTTCAAATAGAATATTATGTCATATGAATGAAGCAGAAGGATACATGAGACTGCCCTGGATAAATACATTTCTAGGATACACCTGGTGCTTCATGCAGCCTAAAGGGATTAGTCATTTGGTTTAATGGAAATTAAGTTACTGGATTTGAATGTTAATACAGGATAAATATCTCCAAAAATAAATACTGAGATGAAAGCAAGATGTTTATCTGCAGTAGCCAGTACAAGATCATTATCTGTGATAAGGTCCTATTCCACTGACATTCACTTTTAGATTGCACAGGAGAATTCAGGGAGAATAATCAGTTTTTGTATATGCCCAAGAATAGCACCACACTATTTAAAGTGGTGTGGTTTATTGTTTACTATATTGTATTGGTTTAAAAAAGAACCATGCCCAAAGCAACCAACCATCCTGAATTTTCTGGGATATACATCTACATGACAGGGTTGTGTCTTAATGTCCTTGGGGGCTGCTTGAAATGGGACCTTCTTCCTAAATTAAAAAAATTAGTCCCAGGTCAATCCAGACAGTGTCCTCCATTGAAAGGTAAAACTAATTTGTAGAGGTGCACCACTATATCAGTCCATATCGGATTGGCCCAGATAAAAGTAAAATTGACATTATTGGCAATTAGCTTTTTTGGCCCATGTAGCTAATAATGTCACTATAAATGCTATGTGCATGCGTGCAGTTGCAGCATACACACAGCCAGAAATGCAGCTGGGCAGCTTGGAGACCAGCATCTGGCCAGTAAATCTGTTGGGGGGAAGAGGTGTGAGGGGTGGGAAACCAAGGTCCCCATGGTGAGGAAGGGAGTGGGGCAGGGCCAGGCGCTGGAGTGAATGGGGCCCCCAGGCTGGGGCAGGTTACGGCATGGAGCTGCAGGTGGCTCATCCAGGGGCATAGGGGGCGGGGGTGGGGCTCCTGCTGTTGCACACACCCCGGGGAGAAATGGGGGGCATGTGCCCCCCAGATTTGTGTGTGGGACAAGGGTGGGCTGCCCAATGCAGGCTCAGGGCCTGGGGCTGCACTAGCCTCTTCCTGCCGGGGCTGGGCTGGGGCTGGCCTCAGAGAAGGTGGGGCCAGTGCAGGCGGTTGCAGCACTGGGAGCAGGACTACAGTGTGGGCTACAGACACCCCAAAAATAGCCCTCCCCTCCCTGCACTGCCCCACTCCTTGCCCTGACCCAGCCCCCCCACTCCCCACCCCTGCTGGGAAGAGGCCAGAGCAGCCCCTGGCCCTGAGCCCACAGCAGGCAGCCTGCCCTTGCCCCATGCACAAATCCACGAGGGGCGCATGACCCCAGATGAGGGCAGATGAGCCACCTGTGGCTCTGTCCTGCACCCTGCCCTGCCCTGGCCGGGCAGCACCTTCCCCTGCTCAGCCCCATTACCTTCCTCATCATGGGGCCCTCAATCTGCACCCCCCCATACCTTTTCCCTCCCCCCAACCCCACCACAGACTTACCAGCTTGATGTTGCTCTCCAAGCTGCTGAGCTGCATATTGGCTATCAGATCAGTATCAGCCGATATGGCTGGTTAATAATCGGCCATTGGTATTGGCCAAAAAATCTTGACTGGTGCACCCCTACAAATTTGTCTTCTGCAGTGCTGTGTGTATGTAGCTGCTCTTTCTTAGCTACGGGGCACCCTTCTATGAAGCGTACCATTCAGTCACATGAACAAGATGTTGTACTTGGGATCGTTAGATCTGCAGAGGTCACTAACTTGTACACAGCACCACTCTATGGCTGCTACGCTAACCGGGACGAGGGAGTGTCGACTACGTCCAAAGGTCTGAGTTGCTTCCAGGACAGTGTTCAGAATGGTGCTGCCTTGAGGCTGGCTGCTTTGATTATACCATGCCATTACAGCTTGCACCCTAAAATGCTGTCCTGTCAATGCTTGACAGGATATGAGTTACCCTTTTTCACATACTTTTTTATATTGAATTCAACCCTTCCTACTTGCATGAATAAGGGTTTAACACAGCAGAAAGGACTGCAGTAGTGGACCCTAAGTAGTTTTAGTCGTTCAGAGCTTTGTTATGCTTTGACTGGTTTTAGCCAGCCCAAGGCTTCTTGGTGGTTGCTGTGGAATTGAGTAGCCCTGAAGCTACAGTGGCTGGTATTGGAATAAGCCTGGCTGTAGGGTCAGGGATTTATTTGCTAGCAGAACCTTTGCACCTGTCTCCCCAGAACATCTCCCAGCAAATACTGTGTTCAGCTAAGACCTGGATCCTTTGTTTCCTCGTTCAGCACCTGCAATGTCTATCATTACCATGACTGACTGGTGCTTCTCCCTCTAGGGAGACAACTCAGCATGCACTGTGCTGCAACATCACAGCTCTCAGAGGATAATGAGAGAGCTGTCATTTTATAGCAATTTTGTTCTGCTGGCCAATTCTCAAAGGGAAGATCTCTTCTTCCCTAACACTCACCATTTTATTCCTCAAACATTTAATCATGAAAATGAGAAGAATGTGATCCATGCTTACAGGTCCTATCTGGGAACTACCACAGGAAGCCAAATAAAAATGAAGCCAGTTTTAAATTATTTTTATTTATGTTGCATTTTTCTTCTGAAAGTTTTATTTGTGTGGTCAAGCATTGGAACAGGCTACCTAGAGAAGTTGTGGGCTCTTCCTCCCTGGAAGTTTTCAAGAGCAGGTTAGACAGGCACTTGGCTGGGATGGTTTAGTCAGGGATGATCCTGCCTTGAGCAGGGACCTGTACTGGATGACCTCAGGAGGTCCTTTCCACCCCTACTTTCCTATGATTCTATGACTATTTGTTAGTTTTAACTTTTCCAGTAATTAAAAAGCAAACCATAAAGTGATGTGCACTACGGTTAAAAGAAATGCACAACACATCTGGTTTAATTACAGTCCAACACCAAAGGGATTTTAAGGTAGCTACACATAGCTGACATGCATAGCTGACAGTGCTCCTCAGATCTCATCCAGAGAGCCAAAATCTCACGATGAGCAGGCAGGTCAACACTCATGTCTGCAGGACCTATGAGAGGCAGGTGGTAGGAATGGATTTATTGTTGTACAAGGCCACCAAGCCCAGGGAAAGCCCCAAAATCAGATTCCACTCTATTTCCTATTTCCAAAATAGAAAGGGGGGGGGACGCCCCCACCTCTTGCAGCCAGGATGTTGTTGGTCTCCAAAATGGTTGGTGGAGGTCCCCCAGCCAGGATGTACTGGGCTTCCAAATTTCTTTCACAGGCTCTGCATATCTGCTCAGTCCTTGGCCTCAGCTGACACTGTCAAGAATCCTTCCTGTAATGACTGTGTAATATGAACCTATGTTCACTCAAAATGGGACTGGGACTAGCTATTTGCTATTTTTCTAAATGGGCTACAAAAGACCACACTGGTTACAACCTTCAGTCTTCTGACCTAGGTTGGATTTAAACCCATGACCTACATATAAAAGGCTCTCTGTCCCTTACCAATCCCTTCAGCTATCTTGTCCCCTACCCTATGCATTTTTTGTCCACTATTGGTATAGTCTAAATAACAACAAAATGCCATTTTGTGTGTGTTGCAGAGACACTACCAACCTGCAAAAATAATGGAGGACAATTGCTTGCTATATAACATTTTCTAGGGCCAAGCATCTCAAGCCATTTTTGACTTCTATAAACTTTGTGAGGGTTTAAATTTTGAGAGGCATAATCAGAAAAAACCTTCTATTATCCTGGCTACATGCTTGTCAGGCAATTGCTTACAAATTCCACTAGAATGTACCGATCACAAAATATTATCAGCAACCTGCTAAGTGATACATATACCATCTGACAGTGCTGAGAGTGGAAATACAGTGGTATGCTTCCCCTCCCATCCACCAGTCCCCCTACCTTGGGCTTTAATGGGCAACTGTGTGTGTGGTATAGCCGCAGAAACCCAGCCTATTTCAGCACTGTTTATACACTGAAGCACTTGCACCAGATTTGAGCTTTCAGGAGAGGTGAGCATGTGCCTGTGAACTCCGAATTCTGAGCAGATGTTCAGATATCTGAGCCTGCCCTGCTTGATCTCAGAACAGGCAATGATTCTTGCAAGGGAGGGGAGGAGATGGGTGGCTAGATACATGGGAAGGCACAAGGTAGTTACTTACGGCAGCCCACCACCATGCATGGGGGATGCTGGTGAAGTTGGTGCTGGAGACATCATGTTCCACACTGTAGACCATGGCAGAGAAGGCAAAGATGCCCATGGCAATGAAGAGCAAGAGGCAGCCCACCTGCTGGTAGCACTGGCGCAGGGTGAAGCCGAAGGCGCGTAGCCCAGTGGAGTGGCGGGCCAGCTTGAGGATGCGGAAGATCCTCATCAAGCGCATGATACGCAGCACTTGCCCCACCTTGCCCACCCGCCCCACCTTCTCGATATCATAATCATGCAGGGAGCCCCGGCCTCGGGGCTGGTCGTCATCAGTAAAGCACTCCAGCAGCATCTGGAGATAGAGAGGCAGGATGGCAACGAGGTCCACAACATTGAGTGCACTGCTGGCAAAGTGGCGCAGGTCGGGGGTGGAGACCAGCCGCAGCACATACTCCAGTGTGAAGAAAGCAATGCAGAAGGTCTCTACGTGTTCTAACAGGGGGCGAGTCTCTCCACTTTTCCTGTCCACGTGTTGCATCTCCTCTACTGTGTTGAGAGCCAGTGCCACCACAGAGATGAGGACAAAGAAGCTGGAAGCCACCCCCATAACCTTGGCGGTGATAGAGGAGAACGGCTTCTCCATGAGGTTCCAGAGGCGCCAGCGCTGAGGGCCATAGTAACGCATGTGGCGGAAGAGTTGCTCATTCTCCTGAGCCTCAGCCTGGGCACGCAGTTCCTTCTGCACCTTCAGCTGCTCAGTCAGTTCATCACGCCGCTCCTCAAAGCAGATGCGGCAGCACCGTGGGGTGTATTTGAGCCGCACACCCCAATAGCTCAACTCCTCTAGGTAGCTGCGAGGACACAACTCATCCCTCACCCGCAGCACGCCGGAGGCATAGAAGTTGTATATCAGTTGGAAGACAGCTGGGTCCCTGTCAAAGAAGTACTCATCTGCCTGGGCAGCATAGTCATCACACAGACCCAGCTGGCAATGGCGGTTAGTGGAAGTGGCCAAGCGGCCCAGACGGGTCTTGGGGTAGAGGGCCACTATCTGGTAAGGGAGGTGGTAACTTTGGCCACCTACGTTTATGTTCAGTATAGAAGAAATAGGAAGAGGAGATTCTGTTCCAGAGGGAGAGGCAGGGGGCAAGGGAACTGATGAAGAGAGCACCTCCTCAAATGATTCTATATGTTGAAACTTTTGTTCATCTTCCACCTCTTTGAATTCTTCCTCCTCTTCCTCCTCATCATCCACATAATAGTTGTAGTTCCCCTCAGGTCCCAGAAGTAATGTGGGCTGAGAGCCTGATGTAGCTCTGGTCTGCTTGTCTGAGGATAGCCTTTCTGCATCTTCTTCATTGGCAGATTTCAGGGATACATCATTTGTTGCTGATGTCTCCTTTAATTTATAACTTTGGAATGGGTACTGTCTTCTTTGGTTAAACTTCAGCATGATGGTTCTCCCTCCTCCTCCTCCTCCTGCCTTTGCATCCACTAATGAAAGAACTAATGCCAAACCCTACCTCCACTCTCGCCACTGAGATGGGTGCTGCTGTTTTCTTTCCTTCAGAAGCATCAAGCACAGCAGCAGTTTCACATTACTCTCCCTTGAAGCCACCACCTCCAGTCGTTGTTAAAGCTCGTTCTGGGATACAGACACATGGGGACTGCTGCTGACTGCCTTAATCTTGCTGACAGGGAAGATCTGAGTGCTTAGAGAAAGGGATTTAAAGGTTATTATCCTGTTTCAGCCCCCAGCTCTCTGTCTGTGACGTGAATGATTATAGATCCATAAGTCTATGGATAATCAGTAGGAAAATGCTAAATTTTATTGCTAATAAAAATGTATATTGCCCTAACCCAAATTTGTATGGGATTAATATATTCTGAACCTGAAACAAAGGTGTGTTTGGGGGGGAAAAGAAAATACTAGAAATAGACCTATGAACTTCCTTCATTTTCCACAATAAAAATAATTCACCATTAATACCTTAACCTTTATTTGGTGATGCATAGTCATAGCTCTTACAGTGCTTTATAAAGGTGAGTATAATTATCTCCATTTTACCTGGCACAAATGAATTGCAATTAGAGAATCAACACCTTTGTCTATCTGGTTAAGGGGCCGAGAAAAGTCACAGTGCAAATCTGAGCCTTCTAATGAATCTTCCAGGAAAAAAAAGGGAAGTTCAGACTTTGTTTCTGATATTTCTATGGTAAAACAGAAGGAAGGAAAAAAATTAACACTCTGTTTCCCTGAAACTTTCAAGCCTTCTTTACAGCAAAAAAGGCTTTACAACATAAAGCTCGCCTTTAAATAGAAGACAAAGCCAGGTAGCATCTAGGACAAAATGTTCCTTTCTATTATTTTGGACCCATTGAAGGAGACCCTGGGCCCTCGTCCAACTGTTTCACCCAACTCCAGCAACACTTAATTACCTGGAAGCTGTTTTAACCTCTTCCAGATCTGGGGATTCCAAATGTAGCATGGAGCTATTATAATGCCGGGGCTATGTCAGAGTTAAAGAGTGTGTATTTATATTTTGGAATGGCTGGTGATTAACAGTTGGTGTAAGTTACAGCACCCAAAGCTGCTCCGTTGTCTTTATCAGCTACAGGATGGGGAAGCAAAGGTGGTATAAAGCCACATTTGGCAGTGCTCCCACCCCTAGTTCTATGAAGAGCAAAATTTGGTTGTAACAGAGGGCTTGGCGCTTCAGTTTGAAAGTTGATTGAAAGTCCCGCATCCAGTGATTTCCATTTCTGATATTTCCAGTCAGCTTCCACCTTCAGTCCAGAATATCTTTTATCTGAGTAGCTAAGTCCTACTGAGCCTGGCAAGCTAGAGACAGTAACTATATAAAAAAACCCAACAATTTAAAATAATTAAATATAAATTGCATGTTTAAGGTCTAGGAGACTGCACCCAAGGGGATATAAGACCTCAGCTCCTACTTGACTCCCTCTATTCTTCCCTTGGCTTTGTGTGCTGTTGCACCTTTCAGGATGAGTAGAGATTTGGTCCTCCCTTTCCCCTGCAGCAAACTCACTTCTGTGTTTTTTGTCTGACGACTGGTCAAAAATCTAAGTTGCTCTTCCTTTTCCTCTCCTGAGCCACATATCAGGTTTGATTCTCTCCTCACTTATTCCTTGTAACTCACTTGGCAATTGGCATCTTTGCACATCGAGTTATCCAAGCCTCTGTCACCACCAGATCAGGCTGACGTTATGTGCTGTGCAAGGCATGACATCCTAAGTGGACTCTGAAAACATTGCTGGTGCAGACTTTGGTGGCCCAGATATTAACCAAAGTCTCTTTGTGTGACCATGTTAATTCTATACTCTGTGACCTGCTTTATCTGCCAGACGGATGTACCTGAGGTGAAGTCCCTTCAGTGGAAGAGAGGGCTGGCTGATGGGACCTTCTCTTGTGGGCTGTTGGACCTTGGTTCTTCCCCAGATCTGTAACAACCCAAGTTTGTCAGACCTAGGACAAGCTGCAATGTCTACCTTCTCTCACTAACTTGTGAAGAGATGACAGCCGGGTAGTAGCAGTGGCGGTGTTCAACGTTGAGGATTGTGTGCAGGGTCTACCAATATCAGTTATATTTATATAGTTTTTTTGCATTTGAAATTGAAGTGGGGGGTCTGACAATCTGTGTTCAGTCCCAGGGCATTTGACAGGTGCTCTTTTATTACTCTTTATTTGAAGGTCATTCAGTCCATAACTGCTGTAACTCCTTTGATTTAAATAGGATAGTGTGTTCAGAGTTACCAACAACAGGCTATTTTTATTTAGATGCCAAGATACGAATTTCGATAACTAATTTTGGCATCGCTACGCTTAGATCCTAGTCTGCTTCTATTAGATCGGCAGTGGGAACTTACCATGCTAGGCAGTGGCACACTCAAACAGGCAACGCTGCTCTGTGCTGGTTACCTCCTAATCTGGAAGCAGTATAACAGTTTGCATAGTGATGGGGGTGGGCCAATTAATAGGCTCACCCCAACTGCTAAACACCCAGTCCAGGATGCCATATAAATGCTGCTAATCTGCCTTTGGTTCAGGATGTCTCCTCTGAGAAGCACTATGGATTGTCTGAGGACACTACAACTTGCCAAAGCAAGCTTGTGGTGTAGTCATGCCTCTCGTTTGTAAGAGAGGAATTCCCAGAAAGGGGCATAATTATGACAATATTGCCTGATCCAAATTTGTCATCAGATATGTGAGTGTTTTTTCTACTGACTGCAAGCAGAACTGGGCTATGATGTCTAACACCATGAAACATGCCTCTACATAAATGTATTTAGGCCCAGACCTTCCTTGGGTTTCTAAATACTTTTGAGGATCTGTACTTTTGTCAGTGTGAGTGGGAGATTCTTTGGTAATCTACTACTAAATAAAAGCAGTGAATGTGATGCTGTGCTGGAAAGAGGTTTTTCACATAGCCTCAGCCTAGAAATAATATGCTTGGAGAGCTGGGGAGGAATCCTGGCTCTGCTGAGGTTGACGTGACAGTGACAGTGAAATCCAGACCCTGTTAGACTCCAGTGAGCAGTCAGACTACAAAGAGTCTACTTGAGCTGCATACACTCAGCAGGGATACCAAGGGAGAAGGAAGAAGGGGGAACAGGGGTGCAAGGAGGGAGGATTGCTGTGATTCTGGCTTCTCCCCCCTCCCTGCACCAATCTATTATGTATTCAAAACCCTGAACTAGCCCCCTGCCAGGACTTTGTTCAGTGCTGAAGTACTCTCTTCTGAATCCTGCTCAGTAAAGCATGAAGGCAAACAGCAGTGGGCATGCAGACATCTGAGGTTCTTGCTTTAGGGAAATGCCAGTGTAATTTTTTCCTCAGATCCCTTATGCTCCCAGCTGGAGACTTCCTGTGCTCCCTCCTTCCAGCTGTTTAGTTTGTTGCTTTCCTGTGACCCCTGCCCCCTTCCCTCCATCCCCACTACTTGCTCTGCCTGCTCACATCTTGCCCCCTGCTGCTGCTCCCTCTGAATGGAGATGTAAAGGTGTATGTGTGCCACAACCAGTAGTGTAACTAGGGGAAGGTGACCAGCGCAGCTGTCCCCTAGTGCAAACTTGGTGGGGGACAAAAAAACAACAGCTGCCACTGCTGTAGCAGTACAGTCGTGCTGGCAGTACAGCAGCAGCTGGAAGTCACCAGAGTCCATGCGTCCTGCTGCCCCAGGGGCCCAGCTGTCTTGTTGTGCCTCTGGCTGCAACTACAGCTGCATCTATAGCTATCGTGGGCATACCTACACAAGTTTAGATTAGTTAGCTATGCTTCTGCTAGCAATGCAGCAGTGCCAGCCTGGTGCATAGCACAGACTGAATAAGTCTCCTCATTCAGAAGCTGGGTGAATACTTGAGCAATCAGCTGATGCTGAGCACTGTGACTGCTTTCTAGACATACGAGTCACAAGCTTCCCCACAACTTCCTTTTCACTGCCCTAGGGACTTTCTTCCTAAGCCTTCTTCACCCTCATAGCTGTCATTTTTGCCTTCAGTTGGGGATTTCAGCTGTTTGTACAAGCCACAGGGGTTTGCTTCAGTTTAATTCTCCCTAAATTGAAGTGGTGGGTTTTTAAAAATACCACTTTAATTTAGGGAGAATTAAACTGAAGTAAACCCCCGTAGCATGTACACTAGGGTCGGGCCCAATCCTTACTTGCCTCTGGCGGCTGGGAGGGGAGGGTGAGCTGCCGGCGGGCCAAGCAGTTCCTGAGCTGTCAGGGGGGCAGTGCTTCCCTCGGTAGCAGCTATGGTGCCCCCCAGGTGGCACCTGACTGCAGGCACCCGGCCCAGGTGGTCCCAGGGGACATCACAGTCGCGGAGGAAAGCACTGCTGCGGAGGAAGCACCGGGCCCCCTGCAGCCCAGGTAGGCAGGCAAACTCTGAGGCAAAAAAAAAAAAAAAATCAGGCTTACCACTTTTTTTTTTTTTTCTCCTTCAGTGGAGCCTGCCTGCACGGGCTGCCGCCGGGCTGCCTGCACGGGCTGCCTGCACAGCCCCTGCACTGCACAGGGCCCTTGGGCTTCCCTCTGCAGCTGTAAGGTAGCAAACTAAGACACCTTGGACATGTTTTATTTTGCTGTGTCCCAAAGTCATTTAACGCACAATATACCCCTGACAGTCTAAACAGCCGCGCCATTAAAACACATTACACTGCCGACAGTGTAAACAGCCGCACCATTAAAGCCATGCAAAAGGGCATTTAAGCGGCTATAAACGCCAGTTCTGTGGTGTGTACAAAGGCCCTTCATTGCTGTTTGCTGCTTCCTTTTTCCAATCCAGAATACCCTCCCATTCAGTCATCCCATCCTTCTCCTCTGTCTCCTCCTTCCCTTTCTGCCACTTTCTGAAATTAGTGGGGGATGGGTAGCAATGATACCTATGAGAAGTAGAGGCAATATGGATCATGTTATAATGGACTGATGCATATTCTGT